ATTTTCCACCTGTTCTTCACTTTTTCCTCTTTGTTTTGATATGCTATGCGTCTAAATCCGACATCCCAGTCAAAAGTTATCCTACTTTGAACATTTTCCGCCTTTTTGTACTAGTGCATGCATAAACACATCTTATAGGGGACATTAGATATCTATAAGACAAAGGCGAAAAAGACCCAAGTGTGTTTGTAATCTTCCACAAGGAAGATTGTGCTAAGATATATGGTGACCTTCGTTATACTTGTCAAATCCATGGTAGGGAATGAACCATTATACCAAAGTGGGTATGGTACTTCGTGAAACGTAAGCGTTAAGAGGATACCAAAGTCATTGTCTTAAGGCATATCTATCTCACACTAATCTTTCATGTCATTTGAAAATAAAAATAAATGTTCTTAAATTCGTGTGCATTTTAGAAAGTGGTTGGTCTTCTTCCTGTCCTCACTCGAACGCAAAAGGCCAAGAGGATGGAGAAATTGGAAGAGCAAAATCGTAAACTCACCATTGAGCTTAACGTCATAAAGGAGCAAATGGCTCGGTTAATGGAGCATAACAAATACAGTCAAAAGTCTTCACTTCCAATAAAGTATATGCCTACTCAGAGGCGTTACCAGAACCTCAATGAAGTATTTGCCTACTCAAAGGCATCATCAGAATCAACAAATCCTCAGTGGATTCCTGCCTACCTAAGAGGCATTCATCAAGAATCCCGACAACAAAGCAAAAATCGGATTCAAAAAGAACAAAGAATCTCCGGAAATCAACAAACCAGATGGCTACATAGAAAAGCCAAAAATATGTTTTTGAAACAACAACGACTCCCCATGGAGTCGACGTATGACCAGAAGCGGTAAGACGCCAACACATTTTTAGGTCCAAAACAAAGGACTCAGAACCAGATAAGGGTTCATACTCATCAGCCTCAGGATCAACTACCAGGAAAAGTATCTTGTAGTCTCAAGATTATCAAACAGTTAGAGCCTTACAAAAGGGGGTTTGAAACCAGATCAAGTCTTACAAAAGGGGATTGATCAAGAGGATCTTATAAAAGGGGATTCCTCAAACTGGCAGAGTCTTACAAAAGGGGGCTCGTCGGCTTACAGCCTGGTGGGGGTTCAAACTCACAAGAGCCTTACAAAATGAGGTTCGAAACCAGATCGAGTCTTACAAAAGGGGATTCTAGCCAAGTCTTTCAGAAAAGGACTTTAAACCGGATGGGGGTTTATACTTATCGAGTCTTACAAAAGGGGACTTCGATCAAGTTTTTCAGAAGAGGACTTCAAGCGGGCGCATGAGCCAGACCAACAAGTCGTCACCACACATAACTTCGTGACAAGGAAAGTCCCGAAGACAAAGACCTGCAACACTAGTAAGATCAGTGCGCATGAACAAAATCAGAAGTCGCACCAGTCCTACAAAGTGGAATTCCAAACCAGACGGGGGTTCGTATTCGCCAAACCAGATGAAGGTGCATACTCATCCCGTCCTACGAAGTGGGCTGCAAATTCAACAACCAAACGGGGGTTCGTACTCGTCAAACCAGATGGGGGTGCGTACTCATCAAGCCTTACTGAAGGGGGCTTAAACCATATTTTACAACTAAAGGGGTCAGTTACCGCATCAAAGAAGCATCCTGGAGGATCATATTCAGCGTCCAGAGGGTCAACTACCACGACAAGGGAAGCAACCGAATGACAACCGGGCAAGAGGGTCAACTCCTTCACCCTCCAGCCGATTTCTTGGCATATTGGGCCAACGGTCGATTAGTCAGGTGAAGGGGGGGCAGCTGTAGACCCCAAATCTTGTTCGGCCTTACAATATAGAGTAGAAGGCTTCCGTTCAACGATGGATAAGGCCTCAAAGGTCCCTAGGTGTGTTTACTAGGCTCCATATTAGAATAGGAAATCTTTCTGTACAAAAAAATAAGAGAATTCTGCCCAGAAGAATGAGAAGGCCGTTTCATTTGGCCAGACGACCGTTTCGCCTTACAAAGTGAGATGGTCGTCTCGTCACTTGCCAATGGTGAGACTGCCGTCTCGTTTGGCGAGAAGGTCGTCTCGCCACTCACCAATGGCGAGACCGTCGTCTCATTTGACGAGACGACGATCTCAACCTTTGTCAGGCGAGACGGTCGTCCCAGTCTAACAGACACGAATTTCTATAAATAGGACCTCCGTTTCAGGGAAAAACACACAGAAAAAACCCAGAAATTATATAGTTCTTACTCTGATACTCTCTATACTTGTTATTCTTGCTTCAGAAGTCCAATTCTAGCTTATTTAAGCAGTTTCGAGTAGTTTTCGATTCAAGAGAGGAATACCTGTGTAGAGTGTGGGATTTGCCAAAAAGCGCCCTTTACAAGAATATACATAAAAGTTTGCTTCGGAGGTTTTTACATCCCTTACTCTCTTTCTTTTATCGCTTTTATTACCCTCTCTGTGCATTAGATACTAGGACCATGTAGTCAATTATTTAAATTTCGCAATGAATAAATAAGGGTAAAAGCATAATTTTAATGTTCTTATTTTAACAATAAACAGTCCATCATAAGGAACCCGAAAGGGGTCTCATGGAGAAGCTAATACCTTTCTCGCACGTAACTAACTCTCTTACCTAACTCTGGTTGTAATGACCAAAGTTGGTTTTTCTTAAAACCATCGTCTTTTTTTTTTTCTTTTCCAATGTTTTTGGTTAAAATATTAGTGGTGACTCCAGAACCCATTTATGAAAACCTCATCCTTAAAATAGTTCGGTTATCGGACATCTTAAAGGTGATGACCACACTTTTTAAAACGCGAGTCGAATAAAAAAATCATCGCATCGTTTTGACCGCCTCTTTTGACGGCGGTAACACATGTGTTTGGTTGGGATTTTTGTGGAGAAAGTACATTTTTTTTAAGCACGTAGGAAACTAGAAAGAAAAGGATTAATTTTCTAAAATAAGTTTAACTAAATACACAAAAAATAGAGAATGAGGCCAACTCGGGTTTCATGAGCGAGTCGAAAGAATATGTTTATATTACTATCATTTTTTGTAGTTTCAATAAGCCTGTAGTATCGTTTTCACTGGATAGAAGTTACATTGAACACAGGAAGGTGCTGTTATCTGTGTTCTATAAAATAATACTTGATTAACTCTTTTTGGAAATTACAGAAACATCCTGATGCCGAGACTGTCAAAACCGGTGGCTGCCCAATCTTTAAGGAACTTTGCACAATATTCTCTGAGCCAGCAACCAATGGAAAACATGAATATTTAGCTGCATCTGAGGGTGAACATACTTCTATAACTCTTTGTTCAGATCCCTTGAACACACACCATGAGGAGTCCACATCAGAATCCCAAGATGAGGAGGATGTTAATGATCCTCAAACAGTACAACCTACTACACCTACTGCAATTTATACCCGCAGAAGAGGTCGTAAAGGAATTGATGATGCTATTGCAGATGCCATTTTCGAGATGGCGTCTGCTTCAAAGATGAGGACAGCTGCCATAGAGCAACAAATTGCTAGATTTAGCATGGCTGACTGTATTAGGGACTTAGATTTGATGCCATGTGTTGATCAACAACTATATTTTGCTGCTGTTGATCTGTTCAAGAAACCTAATGCTAGGGAGATTTTTTTGTCTCTCAAAAAGGATAAACGTTTAACTTGGTTGCGTGGCAAGTGTGCTGTTGCATCCAATTAATCTTGTGCAGGATGAAAAAAATAAGGAAAATATCTCTTTTAGTCCAAGTTTGATCCGTTTTTGTTAAATAATTTGCAAGCTTTGATTAGATAATCTCATTTATATCACAGTACTTCCGGAATTGATAATGTTTTCATAAGACCAATGGATGTTTTGAAAACTTTTAAAATGGATCATTGAACTTGTAAAGAAAGTTGTTCATAATTAATTATTTCATTTGCAAAATAAAAAAATAAGTGAGTATATTTTAATCTTGTAAGAATCAAGTAATGTATGTTTGTGTTTTTACAAGTTCTTTTGCAAATTATAACTTTGGTTTTTTGAAATTGCACAAGGTAAAGTTAGGAAATCTAATAATTAAATAGTCATACCAAATAAAAACTATACAAATTATATAGAAATTTAAATTAGTGTGCAAAGACATCTCAATAAGTTCTCATATACAATATATATAATTTAACAGTGATTATTTATTTAACAAAAATATTTAATAATAGAAAATCTTAAACCTTTTCTTCGGAAGAATTTGCTTAAAACAGATTTTATCTAGGTTTAATTGATTTTGATGGTTTCGTACTAGTTTAATCGGTCAAACGTGACCAGTACAATTTCTTGACCCATCAGCAATAGGGTTGGACAGTTAAACTGAAATCTGACAAGTGCAGAATTAACTACCACAGCCACCAACAAACGGAATATCACATTCAGCATTTCATAAAAATAACTATTAAAAATCCCTTGCGAATATAATTCAAATTTGGTGATAGAATTCAGAAGGATTCTATAAAAAGAACAAAATAATTGAAAAGGATTTTATATTATAGAGTTTGGTCGACAGTTTTCGTACCAAATTAAATTCCATTCCGCACATACAATTGTAAAGGTGGAATTTTTGCAGGAAACGTGACAGGAGCAGGGATTCGATTTCTGGTTGAATTCATTGACAAGACACGTTACCAACGTTAAAAATAATAACCAAACCTTAAAAAAGGGTACAACTTCAAAAACAAAGTTCTGAGTCTTCTAATCATCAATTTTTCTCGACTATATATATATATATATAGAAATCATATTAACAGTACATAATGAAACCAAGTGAAACCCATCATAATAAATGCATACGGAATGAGGATTCAACACCAAACTTACCCAAAAAAGAGGTGAATTAGATTGCAATCTCCCAATAGCCTCCACAACAGGAGAGGTACGAGGTATCATGATATTAGCTGTTGTAAATACAATCTAGTGATATGGGTAAGGGTGATAATCATATTCATCTATACATGACATACCAACTTGAATTCTTCTATGGTAATATTCTCTTCACGTCATGCTCCTGTTCAGCAACTTTGGCTTTGTTGTATACGGACTCAAAAACCTCCATGCACACACTTGAAAACCCCACGATCCCTTGAAACACATGAGGGCAACCCATTTGCAAGTTATTCAGAGTCATTGCCCGCGTTACACTCACTGCCTTTTCGTACTTGCTCTTCTCCTCCTCTGCCTTTGCTCTCAAGGCTTCCACCTTGGCACGCTTCTCAGTAACCGAGTCCTTGCTTCTCATGGAACCAGATGATTCTGGCATGGAGTATGGACCATACTTGCACTCCAACGACCGAAGCTGAACCACCTTCTTCTCAAGCTCTTTGAACGCAGAATCTGACTTCTTCTTTTGTTTGTACTCCTCTGCTTGTTGCACTACAATGGCATGAATAACTGTCAACAAGCTTTTTATGCCTTCGGATGTTACATTGTCTGGAATGCGGTCAACAGCAAGGTGCCATTCTTCACAGAGAGAGTAAATCTTTGACTCCTCGGGGGTTCTGCTTAGAGGGTTTTTGCTGAACTGGAAAAGGGTGAGCCTTAGCCACCCTGTGAGGGATTGGATGTAATCGCGGTGGGCCTTGAACAGGTTGCAGAAGGATTGGTGCCATTGTTGTACTTCAAGCTCCAGCTGAAGTGTTGACTGCCTGTGAATCTCAGACGTGGGGTTGTTTGATGGTATGGTGTTGAGGTACTCTAGCTGCTGAACTATGTGCTTTTGAACTTGATGACACTCATACATGCTTCTCCACATGCACATTAATCTGCCAACATAACAAACACAATGCTGAGAAAGGCTTGTTTATTTCTTTTCAAGTCTCATTCTGATAAACTTCACTATTAACAATCATACGCGAAGAAATTCTTATATTTTAAAGCAATTAAGAGGGAGTTTCTAAAATGAAGTACATATTTTTTTTTCTCATTTTTTTTTCCTCTTATAAATGTTTGTGATTGTTGAATGTTGAATTGTAATTATGTCACTGTCGGTAGAGATCCTTGGAGGTAGGGAGGATAATGGTACACATTCTGTTAGCAAATCAGAAGCCACAATGTTTGTGCCAGGACATAATGTCGATGAAGAATTATTTTAGATCGTTTGACAAGGGTCAAATTATGGCAACAGTTTTGCCAGTTCCCAGCAGATAGTATATATCGTTTTTCAATTTGTCCCAAATTATGTGTTGTTTGTAGAAGTTGTTGCCAAAGGAAAAAGATATAATGATTTATGAACGGAAAACACAGATAAGAATCATCATGCGGGGTCCATAACATCCCATCCGTTGGTACATACATAATCATTTTTCCCAATTGAAAGTCCATTGGGAAATATGGTACAAAGTACGCCACAATAATGTCTAGTCCAATATATAGGAGGTTCAGAAGCGATAAGCCCTGATCCAACGGAAACACCCACCACAATCAAAAATGAGATTTTGGGTCGTAAGAATTGTACTCGCCTCAGTCAAGGGTGCTCAGGTTTGTCTTCGCCAAAAACACGTTTGAGGCACAAAACTAAATCAGTTACGAAGCAGTCAAAAGCAATATTTTTCTACTGTCACTGATATATATATATATATATATATATATATATATATATATATATATATACATACATATATTCTGACCCAATTTATAGTTGACTTCCATTCTATTACATATAACAAACATCTGTAACTCAGTTACTTGAAGCAAAAGGGTGATCCCACGGATTATGCATGCCTCTTGGCTTTTCCCATTCCCACCAACATGCTAAGACCCCAAAAGGGTCCCAACCAAACAAAAATGCTCCCCTTGCTTTAAGATTCAGTAGCTTATTTGCTACTAAACTACTATTTTTTACTATTGCTGGATAACTTTTCCTTTAGCTCATGACCATTCCATTACACAAAGTATGTATAAAATAAAGAGGATTCTAAAATGGAAGAAGTTACCCTTTGACAAGCTCAATGAGTTGAGGGTAGAGCTCCACCTCCCTTAATTTGATGATTTCAGCAGATGTACTATCAATGGCCTGAGAAGCCACCATCATTTGTGATTCTAATTTCTCCACTTCTTTCTTTGTCTTCTCTGTCTTCACATAATCAGCTCTCTTCATCTCCACCTTCCTTAGCAGTGCCAGCTTCTTCTCATGCTCCATCTTTATAGTCTTGGCATTCTTTAACCAACGAAAGAAAATATTAGAAAAGTTAAACAACGATTAATGGGAATTGTCAAATTATCTAATGAATCTGATAAAAAAGTCGGATTCCTCCTCAAGTGATTCAGAGGGACTTTAAAAGGGAGACAAGGGAAATGAAAATTGAATCATGACCAAGTACATGAATACATGACCACTAGTGGGAAACCATCGCATCGATAGAATATTAGTTGTAAAGAACAAGACTTCTTCGCCAGACCCGCATCAAATTTTATGTCCTCAAAAGAGAAATAATCTACAACCTTTCCCTTTTCTTTTTCTTTTATTATTACACTAAAGCAAGCTCAGCAAAAAAGCAACTCACCTTGACCTCTTGATACAACTTCTTCTCCCACGCATATAGCCTCTCCACAGTGGAGCAGTGCCCAACACTTCCACCTCCATTAGCTCCAAAAGGACCAACAGAAACAGGAGTTCCCTCAGCCAGTTTGCCAAACCCATTCAGCTTCGGACTCGAACCCCAACTCCACAATGACGGACTCAAATTCCACCCATAGCTGTGCACTTTACCTACCACCACCAAGTACAAACACAACCCTTTAGAATCCAGAAGTGCCGAAGAAAAACACAAACTTGAACAACATACAAAATCAAACTTAAACTATACACAAAGGGGGGTCAATTCAACATGCAAGGGGTTCATTTCTAGTAACCTCAAGCAAATCTCAAGACATTCACACTCCACAATAGAAGTTAACACTTAACACCCCAAAAATTGTCACATGCAATGATGAAAGTGAGGCTAACACGCTTTACTGTTATCAGAAAATCCAGAGTTTGGAACTTCAAGGAGCAAGGAAACATGAGAACCAGCATCAGCGGCTTTGAGAAAATAATCATCAAGCTCTTTGATAACTTCAACAAGATCCTTAGTACTATTCCTTGAAACAACCATTGCAAGCTCACTAGGTGTGTCCTTGGAAAACCCGCTCACCACCGACGGCGGAGCTGTCACGCTCGCCGCCGCCATCACCACCACTTCCGATCCAGCAGTGGTCGTGGCCTCCCACTCCTCCGTCACCGACCTGGAAGCCACAGCCGGCATGAACGGGTCCCAGAAATCCCAGGCAGAGGAAGCTACCGGAGGCGGAGGCGGCGGCGGCGGTGGAAGAGCGGGGGAGGAGATAGTGTCTGTTGTCCATGTGTAAGAGCTCGGACTCATCGGCGGCGGCGGAGGCGGCATCGCGGTGGGGGTTCGCGGAGGCGGCGGCGGGAGAATGGGCTGAGGGCGCGGCGGAGGGTGATGATGGTGGTGGTTGAGGTGGTGGAGAACCGTGGTTTCGGCATTTGCGAACTGAAAGAGTGCAGAACCAGTGGCACGAAGTGAACGAATGTACATAACATGTGCCGCCGAAAAAGCGTGTCTGGCTTGCACAAACTGCTTCATGTAACGCTTCCTGGCTTTGCAACGCGACACCGTTTCTTCCTTCTCTATTCTGGAGTGGCAGCAACCCATCTTCTCTTTTTGTTGTTCAGTGAAGGGAATGTGTAAATATTGGTTTGTGTTGAGTTTTTGTGCGCTCAAAAAATAGGGTGGTGGTAGTGGTTCCGCCAAAGTTGTGTATTTTCATGCCTGGAACTCTGGTTTTGGGTGGGAAGTGCCAAAGGTACTTTATTTTTGGGTCAAAACTCAAGAAACTTCATTTAAAGGCATTCCTCTCTGGGACACTTGAACTTGCATCAGAATCTAAAGTAGAGAGGTGAGATAATGCAGTTTGGGAATGGGGTTGAGTTGAGTTGAGTATGGTGCATTGGGTTTTCTCTCTCATAGTGGGGTGGAGGAGCAGCTAGGAGAGAAAGTGAAGCAGCACACAGACAGACAAGGGGCTTTGGGCAGAGAGCCTGCAATTAAAAATGACAGTAAATTTTGTTTTGTGTTTGGATTTAGGTGGACCAAAATGCCCCCTCTAAGGGTCTATATGGGTAGTTTTCTCTTTGCATAATACCATAGCATGAAGTAACATGCATGATGATGCAGAGCACCACATACCCAAAGGGCCAGTGCCAGATCAGATGCACTTCCTGCAATTTTAAATACTGCACTATTTACATTCAGAGTACAGGTATACCACCACTATTTCTACTAATACTTTTCATTATTAATTATAATTTATTTTGAATCATAAACTCATAATTAAATAAAAAGTTTTTTATATTTTAAAAAAAATAATATATAATAAAAATATATCCAAAAGAACAAGTTCAAAGTAAAAAAGAAGTGTATTAGTAACATTTATATGGGATGGGAATTGTTTCAGAATATTTTATACAGAACAAAGACTCTTACTTTTTCAAATGTTACCTCTATTTTAACATCCGTCATTTAAATATGGAGAATGCTTTTAATTAAAAAGCAGCATTTTCTAATTAACGGTTAATGTTATTTATTGATTGTTAGAAGAACTGAATGTTCTCCTTGCGAAGGAAACAAGTCAATGACGACAACAAATTCCTTTTCTCTATCTGCAGCAATGTAATGAAGGGAACGAAATCCCTTCCTTGGAGTGGCAGCATCAGCTTCTTGGACATCCTGTTCTCTCTCGCTTCATATAAAGCCCTTCACATGCAAAAGCCTTTCTGTACTTGCACCTTCCATTTCATAATCCTCTCTCACGAACCAAAGCTCACGAAGTTGCAATGTCAAAGGCCATAGTTGATGCTGAGTATGTGAAGGAAATTGAGAAGGCTCGTCGTGACCTTCGAGCTCTTATCTCCAGCAGAAACTGTGCCCCTCTCATGCTTCGATTAGCGTAAGATACTTTCATTTCTTTATCTCCATTGTATATTTCATACAACAAATTTTAAGAAACTATTTATATCTTATTTGTAGGTGGCATGATGCTGGTACCTATGATGTTAAGACAAGAACAGGAGGTCCCACTGGTTCAATCAGGACTGCCCGAGAGTTGTTTCACGCAGCAAACAAGGGGCTGGAAACAGCAGTTGTGTTCTGTGGTGAGTTTTCTTCTAACTAAAATCATTAAATGATCTTTTTTTCTGTCACTTTAGTTCTCATTGCTTTTGGTTTCTTTGTACCATAGAGGAAGTGAAGGCCAAACATCCAAATATTTCATATGCTGACCTTTACCAGGTTATAATTTTAGTTTTGCCATTTAGTGAGAAATTAGTACATTTTTTAACATATTTTATCAGTTGATATTTGTTATCAGAATTGTGTAAGTTTTTACAAGTAATTTTGAATGTAAAATGATGAAAAAGATCATATATAGACAATTTTATTTACATGTAGAGTCACAGATTAATTAACTTGCATGCAGTTGGGTTATTTTGTATTTCAGCTAGCTGGTGTTGTTGCAGTAGAGATCACTGGGGGACCAACTATTGACTTTGTTCCTGGGAGAAAAGTATATATATCATGCGCAAGTTTTCTTTAGCCTCATGTGTTTCGATTTTCGATGCTTTAACTTCATATTTACTGTAAATATGCTACTGTACTTTCTTTACTAGGATTCATTGGAATCCCCAGCAGAAGGGCGTCTTCCAGATGCCAAACAAGGTAATTCACTGTTGTCTCCAGTTTTCTGTCATTTACTGGACGAAATATATTTTTGTGACATCATTTTTACTTTGTCTCCATGCACTGCTATGTATGTATGTATCTATCTATCTATCTATATATATAATCGATTATCTTAACAGCTGTGTATTTTTGTTTAACATTACGTATTATATAGTGAACTTGAATTCTGGTTACTGGGGTATTCAATATATGGAAGAATTTCAGGTGCATCGCATTTAAGAGAGATCTTTTATCGCATGGGGCTAGGTGACAAAGACATTGTGGCTCTATCTGGAGGTCACACATTGGTAAAGAAAAAAAAAAGATGACATCCAAGAGTTCTTTAATTAGTATATAGTTAATTGCATCATTAACATCATTCTTTACTTTAATTGATATAAGGGAAAGGCACATAGAGATCGTTCTAGCTTTGAAGGTCAATGGACAAAGAACCCTTTGAAGTTTGATAACTCCTATTTTGTGTAAGATGTTTGTTTGCATGATCTGATAACATATTTACTGTTATAATGTATTCAAAATGTATAAAAATTGAATTTTCACATAATAATCAGAGAGTTGCTGAAAGGGGAATCAACAGATTTATTGAAACTTCCCACAGACAAAGCTCTAGTTGAAGATCCTATCTTCCGCAAGTATGTTGAACTGTATGCAAAGGTAACGGGCAAATCAAAGAGTTGAAACAAACAAGTATCTAAATAAATCACTCTCTATATTATCACTTGATGTATTTGCAATGAGTGATAAATGTTCAATTTATAAGCCTTTGGATATGGCCTCTCAACTACATGCATTTAATACAACTACTACCTTTCAACTACATATATTCAATACAACCACTATCTCTCAACTACATACATTCAATACAACTACTACCTCTATAACCACTACCTCTCAACTACATGCATTTAATGTTTACCTAACAAAATCCCCCCATAAACTTAAATATTTTTCTTATCCTTCATTCCAAGCATCTTTTTGTTGTTCTCGAACAAAGTGGTTGACAGTGGCTTCGTGAACATATCTGCAGCTTGTGTCCCTTTACTACGAGTCGAGCTTTATATCGCTCAACTTCTCCTTCAGCATTTGTCTTCTTCTTGTACACCCACTTTACGCCGATAGGCCGCGTTCCTTTGGGCAAATCAGTCAGCTCCCATGTGTTGTTGCGTTCTATTGCCCCGATCTCCTCGTCCATTGCATTTTTCCACCTTTTCTCCTGCACGGCCTCTTCAAAACTTAAGTCTTCTGAATCTGCCAAGAGACATACAACATACACTTCGTCAGTGGAGTTGTATATATCTTGTAAACTTCGCACTCTGGGCTGTAGAGGTTCATCTTCTTCATCAGAAGTCTCATGATCTCTCACAGTATATGGTGTATCAACTTCCGAGCTTCTACTTCCTATGGACTCCTTCTCCGGGTTGTTCCAACTCCACTCACTTTCTTCATCAATTTGAACATCTCGGCTCATGATGACCTTCTTAGTTATTGGGTTAAACAACTTGTACGCCTTGGTTTTTTCATCATACCCAATAAACACGTACTTTTTACTTCTATCTTCGAGCTTGGTCCTCTGTTGAGCTGGAACATGACCATAAGCTATGCTATCGAACACTTTAAGGTGAGACACACTTGGTTTTCTTCCACTCCAAACTTCTTGCAGTGTCTTCTCGTTCAGCTTAGCATGTGGACATCTGTTTTGCACATAGATGGCACATTGCACTGCTTCTGCCCAGAACTCCTTTGACACGTTTTTGCTTCTCAACATTGTTTGAACCATGTCAAGAATGGTTCGATTCTTCCTCTCGGCAACTCCGTTTTGTTGGGGTGAGTATGGTGCTGTCAGAAATCTCCTTATCCCTTGCTCCTCGCAATACTTCATGAGTTCGGATGAAATGAACTTGCCTCCTCGATCAGACCTAACAGATTTGATAGGCATGTCAGTCTCTTTCTCAACCATTACTTTAAATCTCTTGAACACCTCAAACACCTCGGATTTCTCCTTTAAAAAATATACCCAAGTTTTTCTTGAAAAAACATCTATAAAAGAAATGAAATACCTTTTCCCACTGAAGGACTCAGGGGTAATCGGTTCACAAAGATCTGTGTGAATCAATCCGAGTTGTTCCTTTGCACGGTACTCGGCTATCCTCGGAAATGAGGTCCTCGGATGCTTCCCGAGCACACACTCTTCACAAAATTTCTTTTCAAATTCCATAGACGGGAGTCCTCGCACCATCTCTTTCTTTACCAACTCGGTCAGCCCGCCAAAATGCAAGTGGCCAAACCGAAAGTGCCACATCATTGTTTCATCCTTCACATCAAGTTTCAAGCACCTCTCTTGGACTATCTTCAAGTCCAACTTGTACATTCTGTTCTTCTTCATTTCTACTCGAGCAATCAAACGATCCGACTTGTCCTTCAGGTATAGTACTCGGTCTTTCATCAGAACCGAGTAGCCTTTCTCCATCAGTTGACCCATACTCAATATGTTGCTTTTGAGATCGAGTACATAGTACACGTCTCTGATTTCTCCAACTCGGCTATTCTTCTGTAGGTACCAGATTGTACCTCTGCCTTTTACCGCCACCTTTGATGCATCTCCAAATGATACGTGTTCGGCCTCAACTTTAGTGAGCTCCTTGAAAAGGTTCTTGTCCCCGCACATGTGGTTACTTGCTCCTGTATCAAGATACCAAACCGAGTTGTCAGAACAGCTCGGACTTAGCTCGACATCCGAACTTCTCGACATCATCAATACTCCTTCTTCCTCAGTGTCCTCAAAGAGGAGGTTTGTCTCCTTCTTCCTCTCAGATCGGCAGTCCTTCGCGAAATGCCCAACATTCCCACAATTATAACATTGATACCTGAATAGCAGTCCTTAGCAAAATGACCGTACTTCCCACATTTGAAGCACTCAACTCCGGAATTGCTTGACTGACCACCTCGGCCTCTACCTTGTCTTCGGCCACGCCAGTTTTGTTGACTGACTTGCTCCTTACCTCTTTCATATTCTCCTCTGCCTCTACCACCTCGGCCTTGAGTGTTCTGAGCATAAGGAACATTCTTCTCCTTTAAGGTTGCCTTTGCTTGGAGTGCTTGATCAAGGGACTCCTCTTTCTTCTTCCTTCTCCGCTGCTCATGCGCTTCAAGCGACCTGGCAAGCTCTTCCACCGAGAGCACCGACAAATCCTTGGACTCTTCTATTGCACAAACGATATTCTCAAAGTCGTCAGTTAACGACCTTAAGATTTTCTCCACCACTCGACAAGTGGGCAGCGTCTCTCCATTTCTTCCGAGTTGATTCACCACGGTCTCAACACGGGAGATGTACTCGGCAACCCCTTCGACCTCTTTCATCCTCATGCTTTCAAGCTCGCCTCTAAGAGTTTGAAGCCTGACTTGCTTCACGCGATTATCCCTTTTATTTGCCTTCTCCAGAATATCCCACGCTTCTTTTGAAGATTTAACATTTGCTATCTTCTCATAGTCGGACTCATCAACAGCTCGGTACAGTACTTACAAAGCCGTTTTGTCCTTTACTCGTGTTGCTCTTAATGCAGCAAGCTGAACAATCGTCTGCTCTTCAATATTCCCTGATTCTTGGTGCCCATTTTCGACCACATCCCATACTTCTTGAGAACCAAGGAGAGCCTTCATTTGCAGGCTCCAGTTATCATAGCTTACGCCTTTTGATAACTTTGGCAGGGGTATGTTGTTAGCTAAGTTGGTCATCTCGAACAAACTCTCTAACTCTCAAACACTTTCTCTAACGCACTCAGACTCTCAAGTTCTGATGTCAATTTGTTGACAAACAAGTATCTAAATAAAACACTATGTATATTATCACTTGATATATTTGCAATGAGTAATACATATTCAATTTATAGACCTTTGGATATGGCCTCTCAACTACATGGATTTAATGTTTACCTAACAATTATCACTAATCTTTTTTATTCATCATCATTGTAATAGAATGAATTTCCATTGTGCTAGAATGAGGATGTTTTCTTCTCAGATTATGCTACCTCACACAAGAAACTCTCAGAGCTTGGCTTCATTTTCAAGAATCATCGTTCCAAATTAGCCAAGGGAGTTATAGGATTTGCTATTGCCATAACTGCAGTGATCTTGGGTTACTTACATGAATTCAACAAAAAAAACAATTGAAGATATAGTCTACTACTATATATATATATATATATATATATATATATATATATATATATATATATATATATATATATATATATATATATATATATATATATATTCATGAATCAATGTATGATAGTCTTAAAGCACACTTGGCTGATTTTCTTCTTTCTCAAAAATAAAAATACTTGTAATATAATTTGTGGACATCAAAGGTTTTCATTATACCTTAAATGTAATCTATATTTCATATTTTTACTATTTTTTGTGTAATAGGTTTATTTTATTTTTGAAAATTAATAACATGCATGTGCAGTGCTGGTCCATCCCTTGCACATCTTTATAACCTATAAGTTTTTTGTAGTTCATTTAGAAAATCATCAAATAATTTTTTTTAGGCCAAAACTAATAATTAGTTATGAGTTTGCAATTTTATTTTTCCTAAAGTTCTCATGGACAGGCTAACATCTTAATGTGTATTAAATCCTAGAAACATAATTCCCTTCTTTTGAATATTTAATTAAAGGTTAATTAATGATAATTTTAGGTGGCTCATCTTTGTTTTAATCTTTGACTGTTAAATCATAATTGTCTTAGTATTTTTGATGCCTAACATTAATCTCTAAAGTTTGAACATTAATTATATATATGGAAAATTAAGGTTTTAAAGATTAGATAATAAATCAAAGATTAATTTTTTGTTAGAGAATAAATATTAGAAATAATTCAAAGTTTAAAAGGTTGTTAAGTAATGAAGAATTAATTAAGTTTATTTCTATATAAGAAAGATTAGTCATATTGTTTGTTCCTAATACACTATCTATCAATATATAATTTAATTCATTTTTTTTGTTATATATTGTGAGCTATTAACAAGGTATCAAAGCTTAATTTAATCTTAACTAAGTATTAAATAAATATTATAAAATAAATATTAAATTTTGAAGTTGTGATATTTGCGTTAATCAATAAAAGTAAATTCTCCCGTCACATTTGATGATATTTTTAACTATTCCACTTATATAACAAGAAAGAGAGAATGATTCTTAGTTTGAAAGACTTGTCAAAGAGAAGAGTTCGATTTGTAAATAATAATAATAATAATAATAATCTCATGTAAAAGACATTAACAGAGTGATTTAAAAAGACAAAAATGAAATAGAGATAATTATTGAGAAACTTTATATATGTATGACATGAAGACAAACTTGTTAAGCATATAATAATGGAATTCTCATGAATGAAGATTTGCCTTGCATTTTTTTTAACACAAGATTTAAATATAATTTTTTTATATAACATTAAATTCCTTAGTGGGTAATAATAATAATAATAATAATAATAATAATAATAATAATAATAATAATAATAACTAGTGTAAATGGCAAAATATCTAAAAAAAATAGCTATTATTTTGTTTTTCATTTATTAAGTTTCATTTTGAGTAATTATTTTGTTTATTTAGTACTCAGATAAATACTTTCATGCTAAAAAATTTAACATAAAATGGTGATAACTAGGTATTTCTTACATTATAAGAATGCATTTTTGTGATAGTAATCAATTTGTGTGGGAAAAAAAATACAATTGTCGTTTATTTAAAATATAATTCTTGAAAATAGAAAACAAAATACTAAAAAAATTTATATTTACAAAACCCATTTAAATTGGGTTTTCAATGAAGATTTAAATTGGCATATGCATCATTATTTGAGTGAGATTTAAGTTACTAAGAATGAAAAAAAAAGAGAGTAAAAAATATATTTATTTATTTGAAAAGAAAGTGATATAAAAAATATCTTTTTTAAAAAACAATAAATTAATTCAAATTCAAATTAATTATTTTTTTAGTTATAGAATTATTTATATAATTATTAATTACTTTTTGATGAAAGAAATAATTTTTTAATTTATACCTTTAAATTATTATATATATTTTCAATAATATAATATAAAAAATTAAAAAATATATTAAATTATATATATATATATATATATAATTTATTTGAGGAAGAATAATTTTATAAAATAATATTATGTTATCAAATTTATTTTATTACTTATATATGACTAAAAACATATGAAAACAGTTTTTTTTTTATCATATTTTAGTCGAACCAAGAAAATATCTTTATTTTGATATTTTTTTATATTAATCACTTTTATTTTCAAAACAAACTAATGTCGTAAACTTTAATGTTTAAAATTTAATAATAAAAATATATATAGTTTGAAAATCACTAAATAAAAAAGAGCTATTTAGACAATAAAAGTGACCTAGGTGATTTGCTTAGTTATTTATGGTTAAGGATGAAGTTACTTTTGGTGATGTTCTTGCAGGAACCCTTTTTCTTAACACAACTCATGCACACCCTGCAACTGCACATACACATGTTGCGCACTCCATCTCTCATTGTTATTCTTACACGTATGCGTTATATCTTGTCGGGTTTTCACGTTTGTATACATTATATGGAATATTAACGAGAGAAAGTTGAGTAACGTACATGATCCATTGTAATCTAATGTCTTTAAATTTTACTATAAGAATAGTATCAATTTTTATATAGACGGGGCTTTATGTCTTAATTGTACTTCTTGTCTATCAATCCCTTGAAAGACCTAACATTTCTGCTTAATTTCAACCACCATGATTCTAACAAATTAAACCCTATGAACGGTCTTGCATTGCATTGGATGCCACCAATATATAAATAGGAGAGATATATTGTTTAAATTTGTTTTATTTTAATAAATATGATTTGAAAGATTGTTTACAAGACTGCTAATGTTTAAGTCAAAGATTATCTGTGATATAATTTTTTATTTGTTTCTATTTTTGTTAAGCAATACTACTGGTAAAAAGAAAGTTACTAAAATTTTAGAAGCTCGTAGAACAGTTTCATTTTCCAATTGTTTATTAAACATTAGTACTCTGGTTAAATAACGAATTTAAATCTTAGCTGGAGATGCAGATAAATTCAAACAGTTCAAATTTTGATTTTAACTCTAATGATTACGATTTCTTAACTGCATCAACTGTGCTCATTTTTCCTGTGTTCACTCTGGATTCTTATTTTCAATTGTAATAGGATGAGGATACTTTTCTCAAATATGCAACCTCACATAAGAAACTCTGAGTTAGGTTGCAATCTCAAGAAGCTAGATCAGCCAAAGGAAGCATACGAGAAGCAACATCAGCCCAGGAACTTATCGGAATCCGTATAATATCAGTTGTGGTGATCTTCGTATTATGTTACTTACTCAAGAGGAAGAAGGACCAATTAAAGAAATGATTCACAATTTAACTTTGAGCTTATTTTCATTATCTTGTTTTCTTCTTAAAAAATAGTTTTTTTTTTTTTTTTCATTTTAAGCTTGTTTTTTCAGTTCCACAGCAGCAATGAGTGTTGAATATTTAGTGCTTAATGTAAGTGAAATAATCCATAATCTATCTTCTTCACTATTAACTAAAGTGTAGATAATAATATCAGATTGATATCCTATTGTTCTGCATATACTAAGGAGGGAGAAAAATATATACACTCTCCTTCTGCCATACTGTAGTTATTTATTCAATCAGAAAATATGTAAATAGTTGTTTATAATTGAGTAAACATAATGTTTTTTCTTCGGCACAGTGCAGATCTCTATGCACACACACCATAGAGCATTAGCTACTACAGCCACATTGACTACGTAGGAGTGAAAGTAAGAGTAGGGAAAATTTGATCACATTTGTAGATACATATGTCAAACTATGATTTGTTATGTTTATATGGGTAAACTTCTATACATTTCCAGGCTGTCTGAGCCAATCCTTTGTTAGTTTGGACCTTATGAGAGAGAATTCAAGATGTTCTTTTAGTGAGTGAAAGAATGGTGGACACCATCATTTTGAAATCTATTGGCTTTGTTAAGTAAGCATCCATGCCCACCTCAAGGCATTTGGCTTCATCACATGACATTGCATGTGCTGTAAGAGCAACAATGGGTATGTGCAAGCTTGTTCCCACTTCTGATTTCCTGATTTCTTTGGTCGCCTCGTAGCCATCCATCTTTGGCATCTGTTTCCACAAACAAACACAGAATTACAATATTAAAGCTCATATTAACATTTAGTTTAATTGCACTTTCAATTTTCTTATTATCATTATTTTGTGAATTTGGTCCCCAGTATTTTATTTATGTAATTTTGGTCCATCTATTAACTTACAGACAAATATTTAACAGAAACCATAAGGTGCAGTATGTTGTAGTGCCATGTGAGCATGTAAAGGTAAGTATTTCTTTTCTAGATCATACCTGACAATCCATTAGGATCAAGTCATATGGACGGCAAGTCAAAATCTCTGTTTGAGGTCTTGGGTTTCTTTCCTTCTGGGCTGATTCCCTTCTACAATCTTCAGTATTGAACATGCAGTTGAGAGCTTCCACTGCCTGTTGTCCATCACCTACAGCAACTACATCTGCTCCCATTTTTTCAAGCATTATAGTAGCAACCCTTTGAAGTACTGGCGTATCTTCTGCAAGCAAAATCTTTAGGCCCTGAAGACATTTCTTTCCATCTACTGCTTTACTTGAGCTGGTGACCCTGTGTGTTTCCCCACATTCAGAATCTTGATCCTGATCTCCTGTTGAAATGGATGATGACTCTTTGGTGAAGAGTGATTTAGGTTGGTTGTCTTCAGTGGCATATTTAGATCTGGGACTAGAAGATTCTTCTTTCGTCAAATTATTTTCCTCCAAATATTCATTTTCATTGGTTGATCTAACTAGGTAGTTATTCATATGGTACGGTGAGGATGGATGAGTTTTATCTAGCTTCTCAACTGGTTTATCTCCATTAGGACTAACAGGATTACAACCGCCTGTTTCAGATGTGTCAGAATCATCAGAGCTAGCAGCATCAAAATGAGTGGAATCAATCTCAAGAAATTCGTGTAAATCACCCTCTTTCATTGTGGTCCTTGGAACAATCATGTTTTTCTTTTGTAGCTCAAAATTTCTCTCCT